GATGTTATTCAATAGCATTTAAGAGTTCCAAAACTATAATCGAAATTAAGTCGGTTGGCACTCGATATGAATATTCATTAGTGAAGTGGTAGGGGCGGTGTGTTCAATATTGCAATAATTATTGTTAATAATATTATGTTACGCGTTAACAATAATATTGATGTTGGTAATCATTGGTCGTTCAGGTAATTCGTAAACGACTTTTTAGTAGCTAGGTCACTATTCTTATTATATGGTCTGTGTCTCTGTGCCGATAACGTCATACTTTATCGTCGTGGCTTTGCCGGGCTTTTGACGGAAGGGATTAAATAATAATTATCAGACATAATGCCGTGTAGGTATGTCAGTCGTACGCTGAATCCAATATCTCGTTGCATTCCGTTTAATTTAAATCGCGGGCATAATAGTATATTATATAATACACACATATCTATAAATATATGACGACGATATAGCGCGTTACGACATCATTAATAAAGGATCGGTTGCAAATAGTCCCAGTGTGAATAGATTTATGGGTTCAGAGTGGTGCGCACTGCGCTTGCGCGATAGAGGAACGCAGATGGGGGGCAAGACGAGCGGCGGCAAGGTTGTGCTTATATTATATAGTATAAGACTTTTCTTTCGTCGTAAGATCCTCAGCATATCATTGATTTTTTGACGACCACCACCACGGTGGCGGTTTACACGCCGAACAACCGCATACATACATACATATATAGGTATATAAATATTTATATCGCATATGGTATATAATATAGGTATTATATCTAGGTATATACCGACATTCGTGCCGGCGTGTAGCCTGTTGTTTATGGGGCCGCGACGGCGGATCCGCGGGATCTTCGGGGTTTCCACATAAAAATAAATCCCTCTCGCGATTTGTAACAATATGGCATGAAATATATGTCGTATATAGCCGAGGTAGGTACCTACCTACCTACCCTTCCTACCCTCCGCCGGCGGGAAAGCTTTTCGCCGAAATGCCGATATGAAAAACTACTGCGCCGCCCGGCAAATGGAAATTTATGGCTCGGTGCGCCGACCGGCCGCGCGGCGTGTAAAATTTAGTCGCCCTTACATATTTTACTACGGGCGTGGACATTTTTTTCGATATTATATTATTATGGGTAATGTATATAGACTCCGCTTAAGACGTCAGTACCCACTGGCCGCCGCCGTCCTGCAAAATTCGATAGTTATTTTATTTTTGTACCGAATTAATAATATTGTAATATTATGTACAATGTTACATATTGTGTTAATGCGTACAACGTATACTATAACGGATTCCAACGGAAAATAAAAATCGAATCAAATCGGCTGTCGTTTTGTTGTCGCTTAATACGCGAGTGTAACCTAATATAATCTATTCCCGCAGCTATACAATGAAGTAAATCACGAGACGTTGTTTCCTTGGCAACCCAATTATTCCTCGATAAGACGGATAAGGTAGATCACCCGTGAGGCGTAACATCATCATTACGTTGTGGTTATAAACAATGAAGATACAACATGATTCAATAACATTTATTCGACTTCTCCCCGGAAACGAAGCTGTGCGTTTTAAATAACTTTTTGTGTGCATATTTTTTTTATTTTTTTTCATTAGCTTCTATAGTTTAAACTGTGATAGCTCAACAATCACAAAATCGTACTAGTATAGGACATTAAGGGGGCTGCAGCAGGTTTTGTCAAAAGTCAAAACTAATGTAGATTTGGCCAATCTAAACATTAATTTTGTTTGTTATAGCGTTTTTCCATATATTTAAATACCGTATCATAAAATAAACCTTAAGGTGGCTGGAGGGGGCTCCAGTCAATGAAAATAAAGTGACTTTTAGACCAATAAGCTAGACAAAACTGGAAGAACTTGGTTCGACAGATTTTAATTTTGAAAACGGATTATGATTGATCAACAAGTTTACTAGGGAATGATCGAGGCGATAGTGAATATTCCAATTATTGTTAGTGTCATAATGAATAATATAAATACAAAAATATCATATTTTTTCGATATTTTTTTTCTTGGATTTCACGGGTGAAAAAAAAATATTCAAAATCGCCTCGATCATTCCCAAGTAAACTTGTTGATCAATCATAATCCGTTTTCAAAATTAAAATCTCTCAAACCAAATTCTTCCAGTTTTGTCTAGCTTATTGGTCTAAATGTTACTTTTTTTTTCATCTGCAGCAGCTCCCTTAAACACTACATTATGTTATTGACTGAAAATATTAGTATAGTAATATGAATTGAAGACCTATAAGGTAAACAATAATTACATTTGGCGATTAAAAATATTTTAATTTAATTTAATTATGAGATGAGAAAGCTAATCGGTGTATCGGACTATAGAACAAGCTGTTTATTTGGAACGGCTGTAAGGAGCGTAATGAGGGGAGTGGCCAAAGAGGAAAGTTCTGATATAAATTTAGTTAGTGGCTATTATCAATTACGCGGATATTGGGTAGTGGTTTGTATATTTATTATCAACTGTAAATTAAGCGAACTCTGCAGATCTCAAGTGCCTAATTAAAAAGGTCACATCGTGTAATGCGTAAATGTATGGTAAACAAATGTGAGTTTTAACTTTCAATTTTATCATAATTATATATTTATATCACAGTCTTTAAAATTATATTATTATGTCATAGTATTTTAAATACGAATAAAATATAAATGTCAACTTATAAACAAGAATCGTTCAGAGCTTATAGTATTATTATGATATTGAATATATTATTATGACAAAAGTAGGGTGATTAGCCTGCTATTGTATCCATCAGTTCTTGACGGATTGATTAAGGAAATTCTGGACCACAGAGTTCGCCAATGACATTCCGTTGATTGATGAGCATTCTGTAAAATCTGTACAGAACTTTAACAAGCTACAATGCTACGATAAGAATTAGGCAATTGGTCGACACTCAACAATTAGTTGGTCAAGTTATTATGAAGGTAGGAATGTGAATCAAATTGAAACGGATAGTAAATTTAGGTTTATGCTGTCAAAATAGTTCTAATGTCATACTTTGTTCCAAAACCTTTAGGAATATAATATTATACCATTAAAATTACATATTAAAGGTACTGCAATCTAACTACCATAATTTATACATTAATATTATATTATCTTTATTGATTTATTTCAAAATAAAAATGTTTAAATAATGGAAGGTTTATTTTTTAATTTTTGTAATCAAATAACAATAAAATATTGTGATAGATTGTATTTATTTTTATGTGGTTTTATATTATATCCAACGATTCATCAAATTCAAAAGGAGTACCACTAAGGAACGACTTATTCTTGAGTTATATTTCTTGCATTATTGATAAATATTACTTTATAAAAAGCATATTTACATAATATATTGTAATAATAATACACTCGTATTATTGTATATTTGTATCATACTTTCACAAATTTGATTTTTTCCTATCTTTATTTTTTTTTATTCTTCTTGTAGTATCGGCGACGTTGCCGGAACTTCTTTCGAATTACTTCGGCAACGCCGCCATCGTTTATTAATTAATTAATGACACGCAAAAATGTATGAAATTTTCGGGGAGTTTCAGGAAAATTAATTTTTTGGATGACAACGCCCATTTTTAATTTCATATTTTGGAAAGCAGTATTCTTCTGAGAATTTAACTAAGATAATACTAATAACTGATTAATTACTCATTCGAAATTCGATTTTTGTACATCAAATATACAAAAAAATAATGTGCGTAGAAAAATTGAATTAAATATTTTGCATGTATTGCTGGAAAAATAAAAAACAAAACTTAAAATATATTATAAGTAGCATGCTACTAGATATTTCCCACCAGTGTATAGTGCAGTGTTAAAATATCAAAATAGGTAGAATTTTACATTTTGTTAGAAATTTAATTCAATTCAATTGTTTTGTTTTTATTGTTGATTTGCGTTTATATGACAATAAACAAAACGTTACGAAAATCGGTAAGGAAAAAATTAATATGTATACAGTCCAAAAAAGGTATCTATGTTAAAACGAAAACGACAAAAAAATAGTGCGAACATGTGATTTTGTAATAACTTCAAATGATTATGTAAAAAAAATAAACTTGCAAAGACGGTCAAACTTTTTTTTTACGAATGAGTGCGTATACTGTTGTAGTTCTTTACCTACCATTAGAATCATTCTGTATATGTTTGAAAAGTAGCTATTCGAGTGTTTACTTACCTACCTACCTAGAGTCGTATTAATAATTCGAAATACTTTTTTCCGCGACCTCAAAGTACTTACCGTGGTTGGCCGCGGAAAGTTAATACCTACTTAAAGAGTAAACAAAACTTATTCGTGGAACCTTTCGTCGGGCACCAGCAGCTATATTATATCGCAGCTAGCCGATTTATTTATTAGAGGGGGGGGCGGCGAGGGACTGAGCGTCGGAGGTATATGTAACCGGGTGCGGTTAAATGCGTGTACCTACCTACCACGAGGTATAGAACTCTCGGTATAATACGAGTACGTATCCAACCGACCGGTATCACATTATTATACATTTAAACGCACATATAGCAGTTGTTGTTTTATGGAACGACGACTGTGTTATAGGTATATATTATTATTATTGTAGGACTGTTATTTATCTATCAACGCTCGTGTAATTTATTACGTGATATCGGGCGAGTGTATCGGATGGATGCGGTAGGTCGCCTATAATACCTATGCCTTGTGCGTAAGTACTCGGTTCACGTCGAATTTCAGGTATAAATCGGCCCCGATCGGAGTGGTGGAGGTCGTGGGCGGCGGAGTATTATACGGGTGTACGTATACGCCATCAATAATAATATCTGCGGCGGCGGCACGTGCTAAATCCCCGAAATTCGGCGACTGTATAATGTAAATAACGGCTCACATCGTATAATATGTGCAGTGTGTACACCGCGGTCGGGTATATCTCGGCGGGTGCGCCGCCACTGATTTACAACCGCGGTAATGTTGCATAAATTACGGTATACGTTATGAGTTTGGCGAGTGGACGGGGCCAAGTGGGCGAAGGGAAGTACCGGCCACTTCCATCGTGTGTTAATTGCCGGAGACTCGACGGCGGCGGCCGCATACGCTTTGGAAACGGTCCAAGTGCATCCTCTCGGTCTCGCGTGCACCTCCGCGTGAAACCCAATCACTTTGCCGACCCCGGCAAACGCAGTCGTCGCTTCGGCGTGGGGGGAGATTCCGAATTTGAGTTAGAGGACGCCGTGGTTGTGTGCAGTTGGTGTCGAGTGGGTTGGATAAGATTGGTTGTTGAGTGTTGAACGTCGTCGACCGACCACCTCGTCACTTCGGGATTTTTCAAAATTCAGTACAATATACGAATAGCGTTATGGATAAGTTCAACCAGTGCAGGTGGGTTAATAGAGAGGGTGTTTTGGAGCTGAAGCAAGTTATCAATTAGAATTAGACGTATTAAATGTAGACCACAGATATGGATTATCTACTATCGACAATTAGGTTAAATTTGTTTTTACCCTGAAGTTGATCATGATAAGTATGTGTCTAAGGAGCTTTATTATCAATATAGCACCCACCGTAAAAATATCATAGATCTGCCACTGAGTTCAATGTATAATAATAATGATTATGCTAAAACCAACCAGTTATTTGCAAGTACACAGATTTGGTGATCTGTTTAGAATTTCAGATGTTAATTGTTAGTACTATATTCAAATAGTAATAATACAATAATATTGGTCCAATATCTTCAGAAAATGTCGACAAAATCGTCGAGTTAACTTCGTCTTAATCACTCTGGATGATGTCTCGATCATCAATTATAATATCATGTATGAACACATAACGCACCGATTCACTATATTATGTTACATCGAACACCACAAAATGGTCAGTAGTTAAATAATATGATTGTGGTGGTGTTAGTCTTGAAAACGATATTCAACCGATTAAAACAAATACACGACATAATATACAAATACCTAGCTATAAGCTTAACATCTAAACACGGGACCACAAAAACTCAATTTAACTCAAATGTATTTTGAAACCCATTATAGGTGAACTTTAATCCCTTTGCGTCCCTTTCGTCCACTGTCTACGGGCACGAAAAGCTCACCTCATACCTTGCAGTACTACAATCTACTAAATGTCTAAATACCATCCAAAATATTCATTTTACCATGTTCAATAACTTTAATTCCTGGAGGGATTCCTTTATTACTATTATAAACGTGCTTTCTGTGAATTCAGCGTTCAACACACAATCCACTATAAATAGTGTATTTTCTCTGAGTACACTTCATCTCGAGTGTGCGGTTTAGTGCTAGTTTTATTTTTTCTGTCCCTAACTGACCATATCAGTTTATCGTTATAAATTATAATGCATACAGTACAATAGATACCTACCTGTGTATAATTTGTAATGTGTTGTAATATTTTAGGTATAAACGATTTTTGTAACGTTCTCGTGATGGAAATCGTGACATTTCGTTATTATTTGAGTAGAAAGATATATTATTTAATATTTAAATGAAAAACAAAAACAAAAAAGAAATGTTCACACGTGAAGAGGGACTTAGCTGCAATCTTGCAGTTTATTATCTATATCCGTGACAGCTGCAGCGGTATTCCTACTAGTCTCCCATGTGTGTGTGTGTGTGTGTGTGTGTGTGTGTGTGTGTGTGTGTGTGTGTGTGTGTGTGTGTGTGTGTGTGTGTGTGCACATTGCTGTCTTGTTTAGCGTACAACGCTTATTGTGCTGAATTATGTGTTTCAAATGGGTCGGGGTAAGCGATCCGTGGCGAATAAAAAAACCCTTTTCGTTTTGTACGTGACATGAAGTACGAGAGATCAGAAGAGCATTTTATCAGAGTGGGCCCCAGATGTGGGTCAGTTTTCCTGGAATGGGCAAAATTTAGGGAAACATTAAGGGTGGAAAATGAGATACGGATATAGAGGCGAATGATATAACGTTGTGACGATAAATTTTCATCAACTCGATTTTTTTATTTTAATTGTTCAAGTTTTAATAAAACAAAATAAATAATACATTGAATTTTACAGTAGCCATAAGATTGTACTTACTAATACACTTATTCCAGAAATTGTTTATTTTTATCATCTGCCTTTGAATATATTTATAGACAAATTATAGGCTACCTAGCTATTGTCTTATTAGTCTCCAAACACTGATGCTCAAATTTAAGGCTTATTAGCCAAAATATAGGTTAGGTACCTACTCTAGTTCAAATGACGTAATAATAGAAAATTTTAGATTTTATTTCAACTTTTTATTTTTGGTACTGTTCTGTTATCACCCCACCATGGTTCATCGAAACTGTATATTACATATTATTTTACCAACCAAAGTATACGTCATGTTTCCACCGGTATTTTAAAATAAATTGTTATAAAAGGTATCCTAAGCCGCAGGTATTCTTAACCTTTTCTGCACTATGGAGCTCCTTATAATATGGTATAGCATGGATCCCCTCCAAAAAAAAAAAAGAAAAAGAAAAAATGTTTGATCTTGATTATCATTTAATATTTTAACATTAATTAAAAAAAGCTTAAAAACTATTCCGTGGGAACCGAATATTAATTTATAGGTCGCCATAGTTAAGAACCACCAGCCCTAAGGCTAACCTGTAATTTATACAACGAAATATAAATTTAATTTTAATAGCCTTAATATTATAATAAATAATAACAAGCTTTTTTTAACGTGATTTTAAATTATTTTCTAAAAGTTGTAATATTGTAAATTCTACCTAAAATGCTAATGATTTTACACGATGTGCCACACAACAACGATACTTATGTTTTGCATTCACTCATTTCACTCATATATTTATATAGTTCATATTGCAATAGTATTATTTTAATCTGTAGACCCGAGTGGTAAGTATCAAGTTTTAGCTTAACAAAATTATTATTTAAATTTATCGTACGAGATGTTGTGTTTTAAAATTCCAATGGGTTCTACCCAACCTAATGTAATTATATTATTGAACAAACGCAAGATAACGGTGGCTTTGGTTGCTATGAAAAAGGAAAAGAAACCATTTTAAACTACGATAATTACCTCGGTTAATTTTTACAGTGCTTAAAATAAAATTCTACTCTTCATATCTTAAGTTTAATAACTTTTATCAAGTCTTGTTAACTAAACAATTTGATGCAACGCGGAAACGTAACATTATGAGTGGCGTCATGTTAAGCTAAGTATAAATATCACGACCTTGAATAGGGTCCATTTTTTCATAACAAACCATACCTTCGTATATAATATATATTATGAATTATCCCCAATCAGATTATTTTCGCGAAATCCATTGGTCGAGCACGTTTTTCCACTATTCTTGCGGATTTAATGCTGAGAATACGCTTGATAGTTTCGTGTGGGTTTCATAACAATATATTTCGTTTAATAACCTCCTTTGCGAACAATTTCAAAACCCATTCCATGTTTCCAATAGGTATCTGGTACACTTGTATATATGTATACACACAGCATACAACAACATCGCATATGATAAGATAGCAGTCCGTAAACCACCGAGGAAAAGAATAACAGGATAAGCTAGTTCAAATAATTGCGATTGCGCTCACAGATATATTGTGGCCAACAATACGAGTATGGGTACCTATAATAATAATAATAATAATAACACACTCGTAAGTACTGCGGGAAACCGTGCGCCGCGGGGATGGGACCGACCACGTGGTTATTGTAAAAAAAAAAAAAAAAAAAATATTAAAGCTCAAACTGAGCTCTCCTGGTCACACAATTGTAACAATAATAATAATAATAAAAAGCGGTGTTACGAAATTACTGTTGAAAAAAAAAAATTAAATGAAAAAAAATCATAAATCCGAAACTCACAACTATTATAGTATACATATATGTATAGTACAATAACGGCATTAATCACGGGCAAATGGGCTGTATGAGGGATTCCAATACTATAACTATGGCCTACTACATTTTAAACGGGTTAATGCATAATTCACGAGACATAGACTAATAATATATGTACATATTATATTATATATCAAATGCTCACGAATACGTTAAAAGTGAGTACATTATTATATTGTATACGTCTTACGTGTTGGCCTAAACGTAGTCAGTCTTGTTTGCTGCGATGTGCAAACGGATTTAATCATCGACGTGGAAACCCGGCCTGCAGGTCGCAGCTCGATATTTTGTCATCGAATTTTCACGATAAAAACGAATTTTATACGAAAGTATCGAAATTAGAGGTTTGGGTGTTTGAGTATTAATCGGGGGAGAAAAAAATCATTCAGTCGAATGGGCGAAACTAATGGCGTTTAAAAAAAAAAAATTGAATTCTAATCTTATATTATAATATTGTACTTACACGGCGGCGTCATCATTAATGCAATATTATTATGACTTCGAATTCGGATACGTCATAGTTGGATGAGGTTTATGCGCTTATTTGCCATGAGCTGAGCACTCTTCGCTTGAACTATACACATAATTAAATAAATACCTATGTCGTATAGGGTGTTGGCTAATTATATTGTACTGTACAAGTGGTCTATTGACAAAAAAAAAACACGATGCCTATAATATTATATGATATTCTGCTGTTAAAAATTAATGCGCCTCGACTTAAAATGTATTATTTCAGATGTAATACGAATTGGGTACAATCGCTTAAGAGGAAGTGATATCAATTACTTTTTATACAGTTAATCAAAACATTCATTTTACTGACATTTTTGAATGGATTTCATTACTTAAACATACATTTTTATCTAACAATATAATAATATTGTAATATAGAAAAATTACGACGAGCTAAAGAAATAAAACGTAACTCTTATAAACTCTAATTATTTTTTGTTCTTGAAATACAAAACGTTGGATTTTTGTTTTTAATGAATAGTGTCCTCAAATCGGTGTTATTGTCAAATGGAAACTAAAAGACCATCTCAGCGTTGCCAACACAAAATACATTTCAATGAATAGTACAAGAGTTTTTTTTTTTTTTTTTATTTATTTATCTTCCGAAGCATTTGGAATTAAGAGTGAGGTTGAAAAAACGGCTCAGATAACAATTAGGCTAAACAAAAAAAAAAAAAAAAGACTTACCGGAATTTCTTTGTCCTTTTATGTTTTACGTACCAGACAAAAGCTTTGTCAGAAACAAAGATTACATAGAGATCCGTGCAATTCGAGGCCATTATCCTTGGCGATATAATTTTTTCTCTTTACCTTTTCTCTTAAGAAGCAAAAAAAATAATTTCCATCCTGTTAGTTGCCCGCATT